AGTGTTGTAATTTATGTCACTTTTTGGTAAACGAATGGCACCCTACAAATGGCGTTGCCATATGTTGAACGTAAAAATAATTCTGTGCATTAAATTTAGCATAATCTCATAAGATATTTATCTACTATTTCTTTATTTCTACTTTTCATATTTGAAAATTATACTTTTGTAGATCTGCGCTGCCAGCGCAGGCGAGGAGTATAATTTACCCAAAAGACTGAGTTGTATAGCTGAAAGCAGGAATGATTCAGCCGATGAGGAGGATAAAATAAAATGTTGGAAGAGTCAATTATCATAATCAGGGCTGTCATGGAATTCAATTGCTGTCGGGATTGGATTTGAAAACGACAAAAAATACTTTGGTATCATCAGAGAACGTATAGTTCAGTAATGAGTAATCTCTGGTATCATGAAATCCAATGTTATCGGTTTTATGTTGGAATCGGAATTAGTGTCGGTTTAAGGTGTCACAGAAACCAATAATATCGATTTTGCTATCGGAAACAAACCAAGCAGCTATTTTTTAAAAATGTAATTAAATGGAGGTTTGTTTTGACAGTTTTCTTCCAATAATGCTCCAACTGCATATGTCATTTTGCGCTCACTTATTTTTGTATAAATTATTGAAAACAACTATATTTTATAAAATTTTGCTCAAACAATTTACATTAAAATTAGTCTTGCGAGTACTTTTGAGGATCGAGATCTTTGGTATGGATACTTTTAAGGATCGTGTATTTCTCAAAGTACTGAGTACTTTCTTTAAATATACACATGTTGGTAACATTTCAATACTTAGTGTAGAAATCCCACAAGCTAACAGTATTTTGTTCAAATAAATATATGAACCCCAAATTACGTTAAATGAATGCCTAACTGTACTGGGTACCCGAAAAATATTGAAACTGCCTATTAGGTATAATCATTTCTGAATACCGGTAAATGTAAATAAAAGTCAGTACTTTTTAAGTCTATTTGACATTTAATACTGAGTACTTTGAATCGACCCGGAGTACATGTATCAAAGCGATTACTGGAACAGAGAATTTTTGAGTACTGAGTACTTTCGAATTCTTTTGTGAGTACTGAGTTCTTTGGAGTACTCAATATCGATACTTGTAAAAATCGGGTGCTGTCGATCCTTTTGAGAATCGAGTTCTGCAGCCGAATTCCTACATTCGCTGTCGCTAATTTTAATCGCCAAAATTCTTCCAAAGAATAGCCGTCGCGCCTAACAACATGCAACATCTAATTGCATGCACCCCATACTGCCAGATTTGGCTAATTACACATTAGGGGTCTTCATCAAAAGTGATAAACTGCTGATAAAATAACTTTATCATTTTGATAAATGAACTGTCAAACATTGTATGAACATCTATTTAACCAAAGTTTATCGCTTTATCAAACGATTTTGTAGGATAAATGCAGTTATTTACTAAGGTGCGCTCCTGAAAGAATGCGGATAAACTGATAATTTGAAGCAATTTGTACCTTTATCACTTTAGATAAAGACCCCTATTATATCTGTTACTTTTCATGTTGTGTACTTTAAGGTCCTACTGCTTTTCATTTAGAAAATTTTGGCGATGGAAATTTAGCGTGGCTGGCGATTGTCAGAATACCACTGCTATCGCCACTACACCATCTCGTTAAACACCTCTTGGATCGCCGTGTGCTTGCTGTCTACTTTGAGGCAAGCGATTTTTGAGCCACCATTTACACGAGCGATTTTTCCAGAGCAATGTTGAATCGCCTGAAAAATCGCCTCATGTAAAGGCAGCTTTACATACACGATTGTAATCGACGCTTTTCTCAATGCTTTGGTCGCTGCCCCTTTATGCGCTTAACCTAAAGCTGGATTTACATGAGGCGAAATTCTAGGTGATTCAACATTGCTCCAGAAAAATCGCTCGTGTAAATGGTGGATAGGTTTTAGGTATTAAAATACGATAAAAATAGTCAGCCCAGCGCGAATTTACAACACGTGATGTTAGCCGTATATATGTAAGTAAAAATTGCGCTGACAAAATATACGCACAATGACAGTACGAATAACAACCAATATATCATATTGACTTTTTGCACTCCTTGTGTAAATTCGCCCTGGTATAAATGAAAATAAGTCCCGATGTACTGAATAAAAAGAAGTATTTTAATTTAAAATGCCTTTGTAGATATTTGATTTATTCACAACGATGTCGTAAGTGTCGTATTGTTGTATGTCGTAAACTTTAAACGTCTAAAAATATATCAAGGGGGTTTACAAGGGCCCTAAAAAGTCATTTTATGAATTTTCACAATGCTATAAAAAAGTTGGCTGTGGTTTCAAGTCCTCTAAACATTTATTTAAGCTTTTAAACTTTAAGACATACAACAATACGACACTTACGACACCCTTGTGAAAAAAATAACAATTATTGAAAGGGTGAACTTTAATTTCGAAGTTTTGTGCAATTACAACCGGAATTTTTTAACAATCAGGTAACTCTGTATCGCCATGTCTGCAATTAAACGTAGTAGAATATAGCAACCCTGGTGGCGTCGTTCGCGCTTCTTCGGCCCTTTCACATCGTTGTATGGTCGGCATTTTTCACTACTTCATTAAGATCGAAAGAGGAAGGAGGAAACAGCGAAAATTTGCATCTAATAATTTAGCGGAGTGCGGCATCGGCGATTTTATCTATATTTACCTGCAACTAAGTAAAAAACTAAGCAGCAAATATGTCTGACGAAAAGAAGGTAAGTCGGTGTAAGAGTTCAAGATAGAAAAAATGCAAAAAATGTACGTAATTTTCGCTAAAAAGCAAGAAACAAAGTGGAACCTGCTGAAAGTGTGTGTGCAAACTATACAGCGCGAAGAAGCAAAAAATTTATGACGCCGACAACATGGCGCGGTGAAACCGAAATTGACCGCTTGTGGCGAAGAAAATATGGACATTCAATTTTCAAATGTTTGTTATGGAGCATATTTTTAGTGCCATATTACACGTAGAAACACGATACTCTGTTTAATTAACTATGAATTTTCGGTCTTCAGTAGCATTGGCCTCAACATAACCTTAAATATGATTTTTTTTAGCGCTTGTTCACCGACGTGCAAGCATTTTGAACAGCTAGACAATTTAGAAGGCGATTGCAAAAATTAGTGGTACCCCTAATTTGCAATCTATGGTTTAGGGAGGTATATTCCTTGATCGATTCCACAGCATAAAATTCCATGCGCTTTGTGCCGTCGCACAGTGGAGCAAATCTTTAAAAAAATTGTGAAAAATGCTTATCTGATGAAACTGATGTATTATATAGAGTACAAATCATGTTAATTCACATAACTTATTTATTTTTTATCTTTCTTTCATTTGCAGGGTGAAACAGAGCACATCAATCTGAAAGTTTTGGGTCAAGACAATGCTGTTGTCCAATTCAAAATTAAAAAACATACACCTTTGAGAAAGCTTATGAACGCTTATTGTGACAGAGCGGTAAATTTTGAATTTATAAAATACATGTTTATGGCAAAATTCTAAAACTCCTTCATTCATTTTGTATGTAGGGTTTATCCATGCAAGTAGTACGGTTTCGCTTCGATGGCCAGCCAATAAACGAAAATGATACACCAACATCATTGGAGATGGAGGAGGGTGACACTATTGAAGTGTACCAACAGCAGACGGGAGGTCGAAATTAATTTTGAAATTAACCAAGAAAATCTATAATAAAATCACTTAAACATTAAAGAAATCATTTTAAAACAAAAAACAAAGTACACACAAAGATGATAAGAAGTTAAAATAAGTATCATCCAAAATATGCTGAAGTAATTACTATGGTGACAGTAAAACCCTCATGTACGAAGAGAAAGTGCTGTTCCAAAATAAATCGGCGAAAATCTAAAATTTCAGCTTGTTTATACGAGGAGTTTGTTGATCGTGTGCGAGTCGATAACAAAAGCCGCTCAAGATTGCTTGCAACTAAATGGATCGCTAATCCATTATTATAAATTTTACATTTTCCAATACTTTAACTTTACACTATTTTATAAGCAGTTTGTATGGAATTAATTTTAATTTATGAATGAAAACTAAAGAAAGCATTTAATATTAGATAGACCACTTCTTTTTCATTGTTCATTGAAATAACATTTCTGAAAGAGTTGCAGTAAGCGCGAGCGGTATGGAACCTCACAGTGTTTTGACCATAATTCAAGTTTTGCTTTGGCGAGAAATTGGTGTGCGGAGATGGGCAAACGGCAGGTTTAATTTACATAAGTAAAATTTTAGGTCGTAAAACTGTATTAACAAATAAAGCAGAAGAAATATATGAGTATAGACAAATAAAATGTGTTTGCTTTGATACCAATGTTTGGAGGCTTCTGCGCTTTCGAGAATACAGGGATGGTGGTTGATATATATTTGCAAATTAGATTATGATCAAATTAATGCACTGTACGGCTGTAACTCTGCTTTGTAACGTTTGTACAGTTGCAATAAAGCGTGCATCTACCAATTTTCGAGAAGCAAGAGTTGTAGTTGACAAAATAGCTACCAAATTGACCCACTGTGCAGCTGTGACTCACTGCACTGTGTACCATTTGTACAGTTGTAACAAAACATGCATCCAAGAATTTTCGAGAACCGAGTGCCCGCGCCACCTGGCGAGCACTTGAGCTATTTTTTTCTGCTAACCTAACATATTTAGTGGTCCCACTAATTTAGGTATAGTGAAGAGGATTTTGTAGGCAAGAACGTATTTTTAAATGGATAATACATACACCAAATAAACTTAAGGCCGACTCGAAATTTCACAACCTTAAAAATATAGATCAACTACCACTCCAATACTTCTCATACTCGTTCAGAAACATTTCTAATAATAATTAGAGCAAACTTGTTTGAAAACTAAAACGCCGCTGGTCAAAAAGCCGGTACCAATCAATGTAATGATAAGATAAGTATTGCTAATACATATTAGGCTTTTAATTTTATTTTATTTAGCCTTTTGTTTCAAGTATTTATTATTTCATATATATGTATACTTGGGTATATATGTAAATAGATACATAAGTATGGATGTATATTTAGGGATAGACATATATGTTTCCATTCTAATGTATGTACTTAGTATTGTTACAATATGTGCCGGCGATACATTAGTTGACATTATAAATTTCATCATAGTACATTCAATTGATACTATACCAACATGCCTAAAAAGATCCTTTACATCATTTTTTGCTATAGTTTATGAACGCTTTTTCATCATGTTATTAACATTTTTCATCGTGATATATGTATTCGAAATTAGAATGCACAACGTTCAAAGCGCTTATGTATATAGTTATATAATGCGAAATATCGCTAAGAGAATATCCATTTATTGTATATTCAATTGATTCCTTTTCTCAGCTTATACCTTAGCTTCGTTCTTAATTTTTGCTGCTTCGTTCTTTGCCTTCTCTTTAACTTCGTTTACTTTTTTTAAATGCTTCTTGCCGATCAGATGTTGTTGTAAACCAGCGACATGACACATGGATATATTACAACACTCACAGTAATAAGAGCCACTTGGAGTCCGGTACATAGACAAATCAGCGGTTGGATTGCTTTGCTTTAGGCTTTCTAATATCGTATCAGAGGAATTGGTTGCAACTGGCGTAATTGAAACAGGTTTTGCCTGTGCAATAGATTCTTCCAAACTTAGAGATTTTAGTTTTTTCTTGTGCTTTACGCCTTCCAAATGCATTGTCATCTGCCCCTCAGAAGTTGCATGTACCTTACATATCTCACAATATGACGATGTTGCCACAACTTTTTTAGAAGTTGGCCCAGCAGCAATAAGCTTAACATGGCCATCTGGACTAATAGCAGTTTTGGCAATAGTATCTGTGGGTGTAGTCGTATCAGGTGCAGCTCCTTCATCAGACGCGTCAGGGTAAGCCTTGAACAAACTCCCAATACCAAAGCGTCCATCATTATCGATTTTGGGCACATATTTGGTTCCCGTACGAACCCATTTATTTTCGGTATTGTAAAAGCCAGCTCCAGAAGGTTGGGAGACTTTGCTGGCGACAAGTTTATGCTTACGGCCTGAGTAATGCTGACTGGCATGTGCCAATGATCCAAATTTCAAGTCGCATATTTCGCAATGATAAATATCTGTTCCGGTTGGGCCATCCTTAATGAACCTCTTAACTATGGGTGCTGTTTGCCCCTTCTCTACAAAATTCTTATTTAGCCAAGTTGTTATATGACGATCATGCTGTTTGGATTCATAATGATCCTTAGCACTTTTTGAGGAATTCATTTGCACATCACATAGAGAACAATGCAGTGGATGTATCAACTTATTCAACTCATCTGGATAACTAGTATCTCGACCGTGAAATATTACAAGTTTACCATCTAATGTAGTTTCTGCCAGGGGGTCCTGCTTTGATCTACCCGGACCTGAATCGTATTTACGCTTCTGAGGCTTTGACGGCAAGGGTGGCACGTAATTAGTTCCTTGCAAACCTGGGGGAATATATCGATTAATATTTTGATATTGATTATAAATATCCACAGCTTGTTGCTGATTCTGCTGGTGCGTTCCATCGTGAGATGGAATTGCCGACATTGGGGCCACTACACCATGCTGAATTGTAGGAATATGATAGCCAGCCAAGAAATCGTAGCTCATATTGAACTTTTGTAGTAGCGGTGTTATCCAAGAATTTTTTAATTTTTAACTTTTCTAAAATATGCAATTGCAGCACAGGCCCAAGTATTTTGAAGGAAAATAACAGAGTTGCCAAGTAAAAACTTGGCCTAGACGCTTTTAGTACCAGTCAATGTACATCGAGTACGACTGAGTCAAATCGTCAGAAAAATTAAGCATTCGAGTCATTGCGCATATATGAAGCAGGGATGTTGCGAATATTTGTATTCGCATTCGTTATTCAAATGATTCGCAACATTTTACACATTCGCACCGACTTTCGCATCAAATGATATGAATATTTTCCGAATGCGAATGTGTAGCGTAATGACCATTATAGCTGAAATACAATGCCGGCGAACGGCGAACTCACCACAGCGAAATTCGCGCTGTCAAAATTAGAATACCCGCAAGCATATGAAATTGAACACAGCCAAAGCGAAATGCGAACTTCGCTTGGCGGCGTTTCATGGCGATAGATTTATTTCTATCGCTCTGCTGGGCGATGACAGCTGTGCGTGCCAAAGGTGGCCGTATTTGTTTTGTGCTTTCAAAGTTTAAAAAGAAAACAACCTAAACACGATTTTTTTTTTTGTTGTTTGAAAAATATAGTTGTGGATTCGTTAAATCTGGCTTGAAACAAATTATTTATAATAATCTTTCTTTGTTTTACATTTATATTTGTTATCATTTCCTCATTTCTAAATATGGTTTAGTTTTTTCTAAATATGGTCACCCAAATTATAAAGGCGACCAAATGGGATCAGCTGTTTTCGCTACCGCTCTAATTCTGTTTAAGTAGGCGAAATAGTTGGGCGAACGGTGAACGACAGCATCGCCCAATTCGGCGAAGTTTGCCGTTCGCCGGTATTGTATTTCAAGCATTAAGCACACAATCGTAGCGTAACGCACATACATATGTTAAAGGTTGTTTAGTATTACTGGCAAAAAAAAAAATAGAAATATGTTATGTTATGAATATGTTATGTATTTTTAGTTAACGTTTGCACTTTATCCTCTTTTTGCGATGACCTGTAAAAAATTTCAGTGCTATTCATATTTACGTAGTTGTAATTGAGCAACTGTTCCGTCAAGGCGTATTTAACAAGGTGGTGTTGGCCGTATATAAGTAAAAAATTACACTAACAAATTATACGCTGATGTCCATACTGTCATTGGTATGAGTTAAGCTGATGTCACATAAAACTTTTGCTTCGCTTTACGTGACAGATTCGCTTTGACAGATAAGATGAATTGTATGAAAATGCACAAAGCATGCCACATAAATCGTTGAAGCGGCAGCGCGAAGCGAAAAGATGGTCAACTCCCATCTTTTTGCGCGCTTTGACAATCAGCCGGTTTAATATTTATTTTGTTTCGTCCAAATTCGGGTTTTCATGCAGAAACATAAAACTTAATTACATTGCTGATAATTTTAAATCAAAATAATTAAAATCCACAGCAACTTTGATGAGTAAAAAAGCGGTACAACATTGTTTTCTTGGCGTTCATTGTGGCATACCTTTTGCGTCTGGCGCTTTGCTGGCAAAGTTATAAATGTCACGCAAAGCTACAAAGTTTTATCTGGCATCAGCTTTACAACAAACACATCATTTTGACGTAATGGCCTCCACGGCGAAAAACTCAGCTGTCGCCCCAACACCACCTTGTTTAATACACCTTGTGTTCCGTGCAGCCGGGTTTATATAAAAGCCTCTAAGAAATCACCTCTTGGGAGAAACGGAAGCAACATTACTTTTTATATGTAATATGCCGCTTTTGAACTTTGACTACTAGATTAAAACATTGCATAACATAAGCATTAGTTTAGTGGTCTAATAATTTATAAAACGATGACTTAAGTTGATAAACTGTGTAAAACTCGTAAGTTTACGAGGCTTTTAATGGAACACCACCTTGGTGAAAAGGTGTAAATAGGCATGAACCAAAAATACAAGATCACGCCTTCTTCTTAGTAGCCCGTTATAATCGCATTTAGGAAAAAAGTTGGGCGACTTTGACATTAGCCGTTTGTTTACATTTGTTCGTTGTTTACAATTTGATGGTGGCTTTTTAGTGCAATTTTCTTAATTTTCGCTTGTGACAACGTGTGCACACATTAGGTAAAGAATAATTTAACACAACGACATGATTTATAGAAGAATTTGCATAATAAAAATGATTATTCATGCGTTCAACAATTACGCGGTTTTTCTTGTTCTCTTCTTTGTTTACTTCTTACAACAAAGAATGCGTCGAGATTTCAACAGCTAGAAAATAACTTTTTTCTTTCTTTCGGGAATGCGTGATTTTTTGTCTTTCGTTCATGTAAATAGGTGCGTAAAGTGACTGTTTGACAGATGATCAACCAGGATTTTTTGAAACAATTTTGTTCCGTAGTATTTTTTATAACATCCCTCCTCCTTGTCTCCTATCACTCTCGTCTTAAATGATATTCATTCATTTAATAGCTTATTATTTTTTCATTTATTTCCATTATTTGGTCATATATTTTAGTATAAAAATTTCGGCCCCTCGGCAACACCGAAGTTAACGAGGTCGTTTGCGCATCAAATTTGCCTCTTAATTTTAGAAGGGGCTCATAAATAGAACTCCATACAAATTTTGACAATTCTTTTACGACGCTCGTAAATTTATTACACTTTTCCAAAACTTATGAAATGGGTGTGAAGACTCTTACTATTTCTACATACTGTGGCGCAGAAAATGCAACGCCGTTTTTTTTTCATTGGGTTGTCATAAACAGCTGACTGCAAGCAGTGTGCCA